ATTGTATAGATTTTACAATTTAACATTGACACGTTTATAAAGCTTAAAAGTTATAATGTCAAAATGGATGCATGAAGAACTGCAAAATACCTTGCTGAACTTATTGCCACCATGACGTCTAAAAATGTTTTGACACAACGTATGTTATCTTTTTCTACATGGACACCACAGACACCTACACTTCTGCTTGCTTTATTAGGTAGTGTTTCCTCACAGCTCTACCACAGCATCTAAACATGCAGCAGCTCAACTCATCAAACAGCTCGCTCACCACTCCTGTCTCAACTGAACACCTGATTGCCAGTAGTGTGCTGTCAGTTTGCTTCATACTGGGAGTCCCTGCTAACATAGCAGTAATGGTACGTCTTGCTGGATGGCTGAAGGGAGGCAGTTTCACCCCGAGACTGATGCTAAGCCTGGCCGTATCAGATCTGCTCACTCTGCTTTCTCTGCCGATGTGGATTTGGGCTCTTCTGCATGGCTGGGTCTTTGGCTTGGTCCTGTGTAAGCTTCTCTCCTATTTGGTGTACTTAAGCCTGTACTGCAGCATGCTGTGTGTGATTGTGATGAGTGTGCAGCGATACATGCAAGTGCTACATCCTCAGAAATGGAACAAGCTTGGCAGAAAAGGAAAGAAGATCCTTGTGAGTGGGATTTGGATTCTAAGTGGAGTATTATCGTCCTATGCTCTTGTACAACGCACTCCAAGCTTGGACAGGGAAGGACACCTTCAGTGCAGTCTACGCTATCGTAATGATGTTGAAAGAGTGGCTACTTTAATCTGGGAGATTATACTTTTTGTGGTTTTGTTCCCTACACTGACTTACTTCTACTTTCATCTTTACCGAGGAGTTAATAACACAGCTTTCTTTAGCATTCAATCATTGACAAAGCTGGTGACCAGAATTGTGGCGTGTTTCTTTATTTTTTGGATCCCGTTACAAATCTCCAATGTTATGGTTGTCACTGCTGTGCTGCTTGGGAATGACAGTCTCTTAAGATCTGCAGAATCAGGAGACAATATTACTTCAGCTCTGACTTTCGTTAACAGTTGTGTGAACCCCTTTCTGTATGCCTTCTCTGCTCGGGCTCTACGACAGCAAACAGATGGAACAGAAAATACTTAATTCCTTCATGACGTAGAGGTTTGAGAGATTTTATGGATTCTTGGTGACAGCAAGTGACTTGATTTTTAAAAGGAATTGCATGTAATTTTGCTTATTATTGCAGTGTATTGTTATTGTCATTTTGCAATGTTTAATAGAGTATTTTAAGGGGTTCTTTTGGCCTCCCTTTTTAACTACTTTTTGTCACTGTGACTTTTAGTACTTTTGGACTTCTGCTCACTTTTTCAGTCAGTTTTCAAATAAACTTTAAGCTTTGTAGATGAAAACATGATGTCACATCTTATGTGCCAGTTCTCATGC